TGATAAAAACAATAATAATTATAGTAATTGCAAAATAATAATAATGATGATGATAATGATAACAATAATAATGATAATGATAACAATAATAATGATAATAACAATAATAATGATAATGATAACAATAATAATGATAATGATAACAATAATAATGATAATAATGGTTATGATGATAAAAACAATTATTATTACTGTCATTTTTGTTACTGTTGTTATTATCATCATTATAATAAGTACTATGTTCATAATATGGGAGAGGAAAATAATGATAATGATTTTAATGGTAACAATAATGATATTGATGATTATAATAATAAAAAATATCATTGTTATCAACACAACTAACAACAAAATCAACACTAAGAAAAGGAAATAAAAATAACATCAATAACAACAATGAAAAATGAGATGCCATCTAGCGGCGCCGCAGTGGAAGCGGTAACGAGATTTAACACAAAGGGTATCGGATATTATTCATCTTGAGAAACTTTGCTCATAGCGTGGGAAATACACGTCACATGGCATGGCATAGCTACGAAAACAGTTTTTTTCTTCTTCTTCTTCTTCTTCGTTTTTTCCCTTCTGTCTTTTTTCTTTTCTTTCTCGTTTTTTTTTTTTTTTTTTGTCTCTGTTTGTTTCAAATACTCCTTTCCCCTCTCTCTCTCTATCTCTCTCTTTCCCTCTTTTCTCTCTCTCTTGGAATACTTTCGCCCCAAAGCCAGAGTGTGTTGTTTGTTACTAACACAACTTAAACACAGATTTGCATGTCACCTACCTTAAGACTTGATAAATATCGCCCAAAGGTTCATAGGATACAGAAGAGGAATCGAATCGTGAAAGAACAAGAATATGAAAGATTTAAGTGCATGCTGTGAGTATGAGTTTCTGCAGCAGAGAAATCGTTAGGTCGTTTGGAATGGTCCTACCGCAACCTATTATCGGCTTGATGTACCTTCATGAAGAGAAAATAGAACAGCCGGCATAAAGGTACTGACAAAATAGATAAATAAAAACATGTATCCACTTACTCGCCATGGAAAAGTACATATCCGCCGTAAAGTTATAGAAAATAATAAAGGATTTTTTTACATCGTCATTTCCTTGCTTCCATGAAAAAGAGAGAATATCTGAGATAAAGTCATGAGAGAAAGAAAAACAAGGGAAAACTTTTATTGCCCTATACATATATATCGAGAATATTTTGCATAAAATGATAAGACATATATTAAAACAAAGAAATTTCCTTATTCTCAAGGTCTTTCACTGAACCAATTCTACAAAAAAAAAAAAAAAAAGTATATACAGAGTTACTGCCCACTTGCTTAAAAAGATGAAAAAAAAAATATATATATATTTTTTGTTACTAGCTTTAAAGAGATCAAATTGAACCAACGGAAGTATCACTGGTGGGAACGCTGCGTCAACCAGTTCACTTATTTCAAATCCAATGGAACCAAGTGAAAGTTAATTCAGTTAACTCTGGTTGAGAATGACTGGTCTGGGATAAAGGGCCCGGAAGTGTCCTGTGGGAATTTGGTTAAGATTAAAAAGAAAAAAGAAATAAATTTTTACAAATGAACAGAAATATCGTCTTCGTGAAAAAGGGAGAGAGAAAAATATAAGCCGGCAAAGTTTACAAAGGCTGGAGAAGATATAGATCGTCCTATATCTGAAACAGACCCGAATTTGTAGGCGATAAGTAAATAATCTGAGAACTGAAGCTGAAACACTTACCGTTAAACATGAACTCATTCTCATAATAAACATCAACAGATGAACTAAAGGGAAGCACAAGAGACGTTATTAAATGCGTTTCCATTGATAATTTTAATCTTTATTATTGAATTATCTTCAAGAGGAAAAGGGATTATATACATACACACACACACACACACACACACACACACACACACACATATATATATATATATATATATATATATATATATATATATATATATATATACTCAAACACACACACATACACACACATATATATATGTGTGTGTGTGCGTGTCTGTGTGTATGTGTGAGTGTGTGTGTGTGTTTGTGTGTATGTATGTATATGTGTGTGTGTGTTTATATATATATGTGTGTGTGTGTGTGTACATATATATATATATATATATATATATATATATATATATATATATATATATATATATATATATATATATGTATGTATATATATGTGTGTGTGTGTGTCTGTGTATGTGTGTACGTATATGTGTGTGTGATTAGTTACTGTATTTCAGACTTTTTAATTTACATTATCATTGTTATTATCATCATCATTATTATCAATAGCATTATCACTATTATTGTCATTGTTGCTGTTACTGTTGTTATTGTAACTTCACGTTTTTTTTTATAATTTGATTACCATTATCATTATAATCATTATTATAATTTTGGTGTTAGTAATATTATTATCAGCAGTCTTACTATCACCGTCATTATTATGTCACCACCCTAAGGATCACTGTCACCTTTATCATTCACGCCCTTTCATCTGTTACTCAGTTCGTGCTCCTCAATGTGACAACTTATCTCTAATATATTGAATCGTGTATGTGATGTTTACCAATGTACGGAGGTCCTTGTGATAAATGGTAAATGAGGGTCGTGCTTATGGCTATTAATAGCTATGGCGTATGTAGAATAGTTATGAGTGAGGACAAATATCTTCAGAATGTAAGAAATGTAGGCCTACTTGATTTTATGATTGTCTTTATCAGAATTACTCGCATTTATATTTCTATGTATCTGAGCTAATTAGCTAAGCAGAATTTCCTCTATCTGTGCCGCGTCCGATGAGGGAAAAAATGAGAATAATTGAAAATGTAAAGTCACCATTTGGAATTGTTTTAGTGTTTTATTTCAGAGTAAATTCGGTTAATTCTTTTATTTTTCTTAATTAAATCTCGACCTCTCTTCTGGCCGGCCGAACTGCTCATTTCTGAAGTAATAACTGGAAGATTCTTGACAAGGAATGGCGGTTGACTCCTCCACGCAGGTTAGTTCCTTCTGGTCGAAGACAGAACCCTCACCGCACATGAAGCTGAAAATATAAGGGGAAAAAAGATAGGTTTAAGACTACTACAGACCATAACTCCTCTGTAAATGTAGCAAATCACTCCGTCGGATTTATTAGAAATTATGGAGATATGCCCCTCACAATTTGCAGCTTATTCATTCAACAGAACTGTCATTATCGACACAATTAATATAAACTATATGTCATATCACCTTTTAGACATATAGATGCAGGATAATCATACCTGTATTGGTAGGTTTCGATAGCTCCGTCTGAGAACAGGGCTGGGTAGCAAATAGTGAAGATCCGGCAAGAGTTATCCTGGTCTGCGTAGTAGCCGTAAGGACGATCTTCGCAAGAGAAAGAGGTTGAGATGCTGTTTAGCAGGCGAGAGGCTCCCGCCGGAAGATTGAGGGGCTCAAAAACTCCATTTACTACGTCTGAAGATCCACTGGAACCAGTACTAGTTGCTAGACCAAACACATTATTTGACGCACCAAGTCTACTGGTTCTGGATGTTCCAGATCCAAATACACTGCCAGTTGCACCAAATCTGCTGGTGGTTGGTGCTCTAGATCCGAAACTGCTACTGCCAAGTGTGCTTGATCCGCTGCTGTTAGCTGCACCAAGTCTTCTTCGGCTTGAAGGGTTAAATTCGCTGCCAGTTGCTGTGCCAAATCTGTTGCCACTTGATGTCCTAGAGTCGAGTCTGCTGCCACTTGATGTTCTACTTCTGCTTGATGTACTGGGCCCAAAACTGCTGCTGCTTGAGGTACTGGGTCCAAAACTGCTGCTGCTTGAGGTACTGGGCCCAAAACTGCTGCTGCTTGAGGTACTGGGCCCAAAACTGCTGCTGCTTGAGGTACTGGGCCCAAAACTACTGCTGCTTGAAGTACTTGGTCCAAATCTGCTGCTACTTGATGTACTGGGTCCAAAACTGCTGCTGCTTGAAGTACTGGGCCCAAAACTGCTGCTGCTTGATGTACTGGGCCCAAAACTGCTGCTGCTTGAGGTACTGGGCCCAAAACTGCTACTGCTTGAGGTACTGGGCCCAAAACTGCTGCTGCTTGATGTACTGGGCCCAAAACTGCTGCTGCTTGAGGTACTGGGCCCAAAACTGCTGCTGCTTGATGTACTGGGCCCAAAACTGCTACTGCTTGAGGTACTGGGCCCAAAACTGCTGCTGCTTGATGTACTGGGCCCAAAACTGCTGCTGCTTGAGGTACTGGGCCCAAAACTGCCACTGTTTGATGTACTTGGGCCAAAGCTGCCACTGTCTGTACCAGTTCCAAAACTGACGTCACTTGATGTCTCAGAACTTAACCCATTGCTAGTTGACGTATCCAAACCAAATACGCTTTCAGACAAGGAAGATGATATGAAGCCGGAAGTACCAAGGGTTTCAAACGGTGAACCACTGGAGCTGATTTGGATTCCAGTGCTGCTTGGAGAATCGTTTCCATTTGTTACAGATCCAAAGTTAGAATCAGTTCCCCTTTCACCGGGTGATCCAGACTGGATAAATGAATCGAGCTCGAATGGAGTACTTGTTGGTCCAGAACTAGATAGTAATCCGCTATTGGCTAGCGTGTCAGATCCAAACCCACTACTGCTTGTTGATACAGGTTCAAAACTGATACTTGGAGAATCAGATGCTAAGTTAGTGTTAAGGTCTGAATCAAACTGGAATGTGGTGCTACTTATTGAGTCGGATTGGAAGCCGTTATCAGTGGGTGAACCAAGTCCTAATCCACTTCCACTTGAACCAAGCTGAATTTCATTGTTTGTTATGGAATTGGGCTGGAACCCTGTACCTTTGATAGAGCCAGACTCGAATCCTGCATTTATGACTGCACCAGATTGGAATCCAGGGTCTGTGACAGCACCAGACTGGAATCCAGAGTCAGTGACTGCACCAGACTGGAATCCTGTGTTTGTGACTGAACCTGACTGGAATCCAGAGTCTATGCCTGAACCTGGCTGGAATCCTGTGTTTGTGACTGCACCAGACTGGAATCCAGAGTCAGTGACTGAACCTGACTGGAATCCTGTGTTTGTGACTGAACCTGACTGGAATCCTGTGTTTGTGACGGCACCAGACTGGAATCCAGAGTCAGTGACTGAACCTGACTGGAATCCTGTGTTTATGACTGCACCAGACTGGAATCCAGAGTCAGTGACTGAACCTGACTGGAATCCTGTGTTTGTGACTGAACCTGACTGGAATCCTGTGTTTGTGACAGCACCAGACTGGAATCCTGTGTTTATGACTGCACCAGACTGGAAACCTGTGTTTGTGACTGCACCAGACTGGAATCCAGAGTCAGTGACTGAACCTGACTGGAATCCTGTGTTTGTGACTGCACCAGACTGGAATCCTGTGTTTGTGACTGCACCAGACTGGAATCCTGTGTTTGTGACTGCACCAGACTGGAATCCTGTGTTTGTGACTGCACCAGACTGGAATCCTGTGTTAGTGACTGCACCAGACTGGAATCCTGTGTTAGTAACTGCACCAGACTGGAATCCTGTGTTTGTGACTGCACCAGACTGGAATCCTGTGTTTGTGACTGCACCAGACTGGAATCCTGTGTTTGTGACTGCACCAGACTGGAATCCTGTGTTTGTGACTGCACCAGACTGGAATCCTGTGTTTGTGACTGCACCAGACTGGAATCCTGTGTTTGTGACTGCACCAGACTGGAATCCTGTGTTTGTGACTGCACCAGGCTGAAATCTCGAGTCTGTAACTGAATCAAGCTGGACTCTAGATCCAATTCTTACACTAGACTGGAAATCATTATTACTTACGGAACCAGACTGGAAGACACTGTTATTTTCATCTAATGAGCCAAAGGAAAATCCATTGTTACTAATTTGACCAGACTGAATTCCAGCAGTGCTTGTTGAACCTGACTGGGATCCACTGTTGCTGAAGGAAGTGAATGGTGATGCACTTCCACTTCCAGAACCAAATTGGAATGTGTTTCCACCTATTGAAGAACCAGCCTGGATTCCATTACCACTTAATGAACCAGCCTGGAATGCATTATTACTTAACGAACCCGTCTGAAATGCTTCACCGCTTAATGAACCAGTCTGAAATGCATTATTACTTAACGAACCCGTCTGAAATGCATTGCCACTTAACGACCCAGTCCGAAATGCACTGCTACTTAAAGAACCAAACGGGGAAAACGAACTCGATGCAGAAGAGAGTGCTCGTGGGAAGAAGTTCGGACCAGCTAGTCGCACAGCAATGTCCCTTGCTTGGAACTGCTGAGCCGCGGTTACTACTGCCGTAAAAGCTGGCAAAAAATAGAAAAAAATATAGTCTTCATTATCAGATACTTGAAAGATAGATGATTATGATAACGAAAAGTGTTATTTGTTTTGTTATGAATGCTGAGATAGATAATGATTCCATGCACGAAACTCAACTACGTAGAAGTCACATGTTTTGTAATGAATGTTGAGAATCACGTAGAATTAAAGGATTAAAGAATCAGCCAGCTTACCGAAGAAGAGGGTCCTCATTATGCTAATTTGGCGACGGAAGCCACACTGTGAAGGGAAGTAAATATGTATTGTTTATATAGTCCACATTAGATCATGCAAGGAATACCTGTTAAAGAGAGTGAAAGGCTGGGAAAGTAACTTGTTCCCTGCGAGAATTCCCTTTCAGATACGTGGAAACTAGATTTACAGGATTATCATTTGTTTCCTCCTCTCTCTCTCTCTCTCTCTTTCCTCTTCCTTTATCACTACTATTTCCTGGTATCATTTTCGTTACCGACGTCATAATGGATGTTATATTCAT